GCATGCCAGTACGTCCATTCCAGTGAGCACTGGAATATTGTGTATTGCCTTAGGGATGGTTGTCGATCTTTGCTCTAATCCTTGTTCATTAGCTTATGAAAATGGCTTTATGTTAGGATTTTTATGTGCATTGCCTTTATGATCCTTTGGTTGATGTTCTCCCCTAATCCCTAAGTTGTTAAAGCATCTAGAAGGCAACATCCCCTAATTTGAGCCCATCTTTTATTATTGTGTTTACTTGTGTTTGGATTGCATTATCTTAACTAGACTTTTACCCTTTAATTGTTGACAATTACTCAACCATGAATTTGAACTTGCTTGGATTCTTGTGGGTTCCAATACTTTGGTGCCTAAAATTTTTGTTGTCACTCAAGTACGTGCCATAGTCTCAATCCCTACCGGAACGATAATTTTACACTTGTTTACTCACCACCTCTTTCCTGTACATCAGTGAGTACTATGGTGGAAGTTCCCCATAATGACCTCATTAGCAAGAGGTCAGCAATGGTCAAGGTAGAGTATTAGTTGACTGGAGGGGCAATGTCTTCGAACGATCCTTAGCCTCGGGGGGTGCCTTCTACAATAATAGGGGCGGAATGAAGTGTAGCCAGATATAAAGGGAGTGAATAAGTGGGCCCGCATGGGTATTCGATTGGGAGGTGAAAGTTGTGGGGTTTTCAGCAACTCCTATGCAACCAGAATCAGTAATTAAAAGGGAAAAACATTGGAAATTAAAGAGGTGCGGAGTAAAGAGTAGATGAACCTAGAAGGGAGAAGACGGGAGAGCAACTGACTCTTGTAAAGCCGAAGAAAAGGTAGGAAGTAGGGGCGAAGAAGCAACGGAAGATCAATGGAGGGTATTTGGAAAATTAACAACAATTAGCTCTAGCGATATAAAGGCAGAAGCTGTGAAAATGGGGTGAAATGGTGGGGGGTGGGGGGGGGGGGAGTATTTATAGGAGAGGATGAGTGAGGATATGTTGACATGTGGAGGAAATCCAAGGTGTGGGCTGGTAAAATGATGGGTGATGTGACGTGAAGCGTTTTAAAGAAACTATTAGAGTTTCAAATAGAAATAATGGCAGGAAATGGATGGTTTAGATTATTCAGATTTTAATTTTTCTTTGAGATTTTCAAATTTATCCTTAATTATTAACTTATTGATTTCAATAAGTAAAGTCTTAGGTTCGAACCCATCTCAATCAAAATTGGCATAATTAAGTTTGTCACTCTATTTTACTCTTGTTAAATTATAATAAATAAATTAATAGCTACAACAAAAAATGATACATATGCATTTCTTTAATTTAGAATTATGTGTCTACAATGCCTTTATTTAAAAAAAAAAAAAAAATTATTCATTATCAATAAACTAAATAAGAGAAATAATTTCATTAGTTATATTGTCTTTTATTTTCTCCAATGCAAAGATTCTTTACATTCAAATTCATCAATTTATATTCATTACATTGTCCATTATCTTAGTTTTGCACTATCTTGTAATTAAATATCAAAATTATAATACAAAAAAATGTTATATATTTTTTTTTTTTTTGAAAACCAATAATGTTATATATTTATTTACCAAGTATTTTATTAATACCATGAAAAAATAAATAAAATAGTTTGAAGCCAACCATATTAACTACCTGGGGGATTTTCTGACAAAGAGAGTATTCAAATAACCCAACAAATTGAAGCGGCAAACTACCACGTAATATCTTTGGACTATATCATATTTAAAATGTTCAATTTTTTACTACTTTATATAATATTATTCCTTAAACTAGGGATTTCTTTATCTACAATAACTCATTCACACAATAATGGTTGAACCAAATGAAACCCGAGCAGAACATCTAAAGGACTTGCATGCTTTTATGTTGATAATAATATGTAAATGTTAATTATATCATTATCTTACGTAGCTAAATTTAAAACTCATTATTAAAACTATCAATGTAGGGCCATAGAACATCGTAACACACTTGATGCACTGAAAAGATGCCGAGACTACAACAATGCTGCAATCAATTTGGCAAACTTAAAAATGAAGAAATTTCGAAATAGCCACAATTGATTTATTAATTCATTTATCCTGTAAAATACTTATTGTGCATTCATTAAATATATTTCATCTTCTAGACTCAACCTGCTTAGATTACAAGCAAAATCAGCATCAACCTTCACAACAAAAATACTTGGTATATAAGATGTAGTCACTATTTAAAAAAAAAAAAAAAAAAAAAAAAAAAAAAAAAACTTATGCACAAAGTGGAAAACAATTTAACTCGAAGGTTAATATCAATTCAATAAAAAAAATTACAAAAAACAAACACACACACAATCAAGTACTACACTCATTCCCACTAATTCTAAAAGTATGAATTTAAAAATGAACATGTACAAAATGGATGTGGAAATTATTGATGAAACTAGACACGTTGTAACATCAATATTAGAACTATCTGTAGAGTTATTGTTGTTACTATCAAGTAAACAAATTATAAAAATAGAACAAGAGGTACTACTCATGAACCTTATACAAATATAATAAATATTAATATTTTATTCAATACTTTCACATGAAACATGTAGTGGAACAAACTACCATTGCAAAATATCAACAAGCGCTTGCAAGATCAAGAGTTCATAGTACAACTAAGATCCCAGTCACATACACAACAAGGAAAATTCACAAATAGTGAAGATGAAGACAATGACAATGTTATTCAAAAGAGAATTAAAAATACTTAGAAAAATTAAAACCAAAAGTATTACTCCGTATTTGTTTAGACTATTATTTTTAGACCAAGTATTTAGACTATCGATTTTATAAAGTTGTAATGTAAATTGTAAAAATATATTTTAGTGACAATTATAATTTCTTATATTATCTTGTATTCATATACATTGAGTTACATATTTAAATAAACAAATTCGACATTTAATTACTTATATATAAATTTCTCTTATATAATCCTTAATTTATATACTTTTAAATATTTATTTAAATATAAATAACGGGCATTAATCCCCTTAAAAATAAAAAAATAAAAAAATAAACATTAATCCATTTGTGCATGCGCGTGTAAAATCTAGTCTATCTAAATAAGATTCTTAACAAATCATTTTTCGTAACTTAACTGATCCTGTTATTGTTTACGTGTCCATGCATCATGAAAACAATTCAACAAAAAACAATGGAAACTAATAATTCAATTCCGAAATAAACTAACCACTCCACGACGCCACCGCCCACCAGCTTTCCGGTCTCCGTCTTCACTCTCAGCCCGCCTCAGTCGCCGGCCGTGAGCCGCATCCGTCTTCACCACAGTCCAGTCGCCGCTTCGCCTCAGGTTCGTAGTCTCGTTCTCAACTTCTCACCCCTTTGGATTATAAATCTTAATTTCAATAATATGTTCAATTGTTTGTCGCAAGCTTTGAGTTTTGAAATCTGATTTTGCCATAATTTCCCTAATTTTGTTTTTGCTCTAATTTCCCTAGATGAGAGCTGACTGCTGAGGATAGAGAGATTAGACTATTAGAGAGGTAGGTGATGTACTGATGTTAGTTGTGCACAGCAGCACAGTGCACTTCAGCACTTGTGTGTGTGTGTGTGTGTTTTTTTTTTTTTTGGAATTTTGATGTTAGTTGCTGTTTTGCACTGCTAATTTGCTATAATAATGTTAGTTCTTACTGTTTATTATGTCTTTGTTTTTAATTTCGATTTTCCTATATTGTTCATACACCATCAAGTTGTGTAAGAATCCTTTGAGCTGTACTCAATAAATGGTTGGGTTTGAATTTCTTCAGTGGGACTATGGGAGCGAGATTGTGAAAAGCTTTAGAAATTGGTTTATTTGAATTTTTTTGGATTGAAGTGACTGTTTTTTTGGGGTCTATTTTGTAAAATCCTCAATTTTTCTTGGCATTTTTTACTTCAAAGCATGTTGTATACAACTATACACTCAATTGCATAATGCCAAAAAAGGTAAAATTTGAAATGGATAAGTGTAATGGAGGCTCCAGATTCAATTGATGGTATATGAACAATGGGATGGTGTTACTGTGTATATTGACATATTTTCCCCGTAATCAGTATATTGTCTCTAATCTGTGTATTAGTGCTAATTTTAGAGACACTAATTTTTTTCTCTATTAATTAGAGACTGTGACTACTAATCTTATTGGTGTTTGATATTTTGTCATGGACATTTTTAAAACGATTTTAACATCACGTCTTTGCCCCCACTCAAATAAAATCCTCGATCTGCCCCTGTTTACATTCATACATCCAGAGTTTTAAGCTTTAATGGTGGTCTGTTTAATGAATTTGCTTACTTTGTCTCTACGTTGGTTAATTTATTGTGTACACTCCAGAAGTCTATCATTCTGTTATGTTTTTTAAATGTTCTAATTTCCAGAAAATTTAGATTGAGTTTGGATTTTCCAGCCATTATTTTTGTTTGCTTTTATATGCTAGCATTAGAAAGACATGCACAATGTTATATTGTCAATATAGATGTTTTCCTCAAAGCATTATAAAATGAAATCTAATCACTTTAAACCACCAAGAACAAGCTAGGATATAAATACACAGGAGATACTACGCTGAAAACAGGACAGAAATTTGTTAATTTAACTAAGATTTTTTCCAGAATTTTTTTATTAGTTTTGTTTTTTCAGAAAATTAACGTTTAACTATAATTTCTTTACAGAAAATTCGTTAATGTTTCCCTGAAAATTAAAGTTTAAATTAAAATTTTGTGTAGTTCTAATTTTGTTTTGAATCTATGAATATACTGATAATTGTTAAAGTTTTAATTCTTGAATTTTATGAATTTGTGATATTAATGAATATATGTGATTTTGTGAAATACTGTCATATTGTTGAATATTCTTGAAGTTTATAACAAAAACTGTGAACTGTGAATATACAGTTGTGAATTGTCATTTGGGGGAGAAATGAGAATGGATGGTTATGCAGTTTTTAAGACATCATTTAGGAGATAAGGTATGTATAAATATTGAAGTTTTTCGTATCACTGTATATTTGTATATATATGTGATTTTGAAATTATGCTGAATGCCTTCATATAAATTATAATAGTCGGCGACTGAGCATAGAAATAGAATGAGCGGAGGAATATGATGACGACAAGACCTCCAAAGCTGGTATCGGGGGGGTCATCTAGCAACAATAGAAGCAGTTGGAGGCCAACTCTTCTTCATTTTCTCTTTGCAGCTGCCATTTTCTCCATCATCGTTTTCACCATTCAGTCCTCCCTCTTCACTGGTTTCCTTTTTATTCCCACCCTTTCTAGCCCTAATTATTTATTTTTTAATCCTCGAGCTTGTTTCGAATTGAAGCAATCTGGAAATCTTAAAAAAAAAAACAGAAATTTATTCGAATTTACATTCTCCGGCACCGACGACATTATTTCCGTTGCAGGTAACGGCGGTGTTAATGTCATCAACAGAGAGGAAATCCGTATCTTATCTGATTTTCAGTCCAGCCTTCAGCAATGCGTGGTCAGTCACCTTTACTTTTGAACCAATCTATGAAGTTGATGTCCTATTTGACACCCTTAGAGATCTATGTCGGGCATCCATCCACTTCACTTTGAATCAATGTTGAAAAAATCGCTAGGCGCCTGGGGACTACCTAGAGCGCCTAGGAGGCCGACCGCCTAGCACCTAGGCGCGATTTTTGCAACACTGCTTTGAGTGCTAATATACTGTTACTATTGGATCTTTTTATTTTTGGATTTACCTTTTCTTTTTTCCATTTTAGACACATTCGTTGTGGATGCGAATTTTCTTGCTTCTCCCTAACTTTGCATGTCATTCCCTTTTTGATTGATTTTTATGCCTTTGATCCTTGATGCTGAGTTTGAATTTTTGTTAGGCAAATAGAGGGCTTGGGCTTACAGCTCATATTATTGATCATTGTAATATAATTCTCAAATTCCCCGAAGGAACAAACAGCACTTGGGTATGTATGTCTCTACCTGTAGTTTCTTCGTTTGTCTCCTTAACTATCCCCTCTATAATTTAAAACGTTTATTTGCAGTACAATGAGCAATTCAAGATTTTCGAACCCCTTGAGTACAAATATGATGTTTGTGAGGCTATTCTGTTGTGGGAACAGGTTTGTCCTCGTTGTTTCCTAACTTTCACTATAGCTATTAGCTTAAATAAAACGAGGTAATTTGAAATGCAGTATCGTAACATGACCACTGTGTTGACGAGAGAATATCTGGATGCTAGGCCTGATGGATGGTTAGACTATGCAGCAAAAAGGATAGCACAATTGTATGTTTCAACTTTGATTTCCCATTTTAATTTCCCCCCTAATTGTTGCAATACTTATTCTATTTATTCTTTAATTGTAGAGGCGCTGACAAATGCTACAACCGGACTCTTTGTGAGGAGCATCTTAATATAATTTTACCTGCACAGCCACCCTTTCACCCCAGACAGTTTCGAACATGTGCTGTTGTTGGGAATTCGGGTGACCTCTTGAAGACAGAGTTTGGACCAGAAATTGATAGTCACGATGCAGTTATAAGAGACAACGAAGCTCCTGTTAACGAGGTAGTGCCATATTTCTAGTGGTGTTCCCCTTAGGCCTCTATTTCTTTGTAAGATTGTGTATCCTTGTAATGGGGAATGACTTTTGTTGAATTTGGAAGATGGAATGGCCTGGCGGGTGGAGAATAACACCACCCGCTAGTTAAGCGGAAGTAATGATGAAGAATCAAGAAATAGAAAATGCATATAAGACTGAAATATATTAGTATTATCTGTGTTTCTAATAAAGAAACATAGTACATATATATATACAAACACATAACTGTAAGTAACTACTCATAACTGACACCTATTCATAAACAGACACAACCCTATAGATAAACTAACTCTTTATTTTTCAACAACTTTCATAGTTCTTTCATTGACTCAAGAATGAAGTGTTTCAAATAAGTTTAATACCTATCATCAGCATGTAGTAAGACACCATAAATTTAATTAGTATTTTAGGTTTTCCTATGCCTTTAACTCTATACCAATCAAACATTTAGGTGAAATTCTAATTTGTTTTGTTATTTTGCATATATCTTGCAGAAATATGCCAAGTATGTTGGTCTGAAGCGGGATTTTCGCTTGGTTGTAAGAGGTGCTGCTGGTAACATGATTACGATTCTTAATGGGTCAGGTAAGTTATATTATTATCAAATTAGCTGCTTTATGCTTGGTAAGTCTGCGTCTTATAAAGTTAGTTCAGTGATAATCTGGGCAACTGCTTTTTCTCCTTTTAATTCATTGCAGATGATGAGGTGCTTATAATTAAAAGTCTTACACACAGAGACTTCAATGCAATGATAAAGGTAATATTTTTCCTCGGATGTACAATGTTCTTTATGTCATCTTTTTTTTGTCTTCTTTAAACTTGAAAGCCGATTTGATGTTTTCCCTTGTTGGCTCCCAGCGCATACCAAATCCCGTTTACCTCTTCCAAGGTATTGTCTTGCGCAGAGGTGCTAAAGGAACCGGAATGAAATCAATAGAACTAGCGCTTTCCATGTGTGACATTGTCGACATATATGGTTTCACAGTTGATCCTGGCTATACAGAGTGGTAAGTTGCGGAATTATGTAGTGAAAGGATGATAATAGATTGATGACTCTGCGTTTTCTAGGACTCGGTACTTTTCTACACCGAGGAAAGGGCACAACCCACTTCAAGGGAGGGCGTACTACCAACTGTTGGAATGTCTTGGTGTAAGTGCAATTTTGTAATGAATTGTGTTGTCAACCAATGCTCTTTCTAACCAAGGATAGGGTTTTCCTTACTTGTAAGGTTATTCGGATCCATTCTCCCGTGAGAGCACAAAGGAAGCAAGACTGGTCGGATGTTCCTAGTCGAGAAATGATAAACAGGGCTCAGAAAGCTGCTTTGCAATTGAAAAGAAGTGCGGGGGTTGATCGATTGGGACAATTTGTGAACTGTAAGGTGTGGGGCAATGCAGGTCGATATGGGAGCGGGCCGATATCTGGATCTCCAGATATGACAGATGTGAGGAAGAACTCAAAATACAGTAAATGGGAAGTTCTGCCTTTCAAGAACCTGAGGGAAGAGACAAGGCAACACTTTATTCGGATGGAAGGTGTCTCTATGTACAAAATGGATGGCAATAAGTTGGACGATCTAGTTTGTGTAAGACATCCCCTCAAATCTGAGGCATAAGAATATGATGACAAATCAACAGATACATGGCAACAGCCTTAAATCTCCAGGTCAGTTATTCCACCCAATAAAGGTACCTACAATATCCAGGGCAGTTGTTCCACCCAATAAAGGTGCTTACAATTTCCAGGGCAATTGTTCCACCCAATGAACAGTCACTGTGTTTGACGTTAGAAACCATAGGCCACACCCAAAAAACAGATACATATAGCAAACACTTTGTAGTAGTTTCAAGTGTACAAGTACAGCTACTCTAAGCAGAGTTTTCATAGAATCATTGCATTTGTTATAGATTTTTAATGTACCAATTCAATGTCACAGTTTATGTGCTACATTGAGACTACATCATTGAAATTGAAATAAAAGGCAGCAAACAAAATCATACCATTTGGTTTAAGAAGCACAAGTAAAGGCCTAAAGGGGCAATAAAAGAGATGATACTACTTGTTGCCGGCCTTAAGAAGATCATCAGAAACAACCTTGAGGAGCTTCTTATGCTTGGCAGATTTGGCAATTTTCTTAAGAGTCTTCGGGTTAGTGATCTTCTGAAACTTGGTGCCAGACTTGAGAATGTTCTCCTTCTTCCTCTTCTCCCTCTCCTCCCTCTTCTGCCTCTTCTCTATCTTGTTCTGCCTTATCTCCTCCTTCAGTTCGTTCATTCTCTCCTTATACGCCTTCTTTATCTCCTTTTCCTTCACCCTCTGCTCCAGGGTCTTCCCCTTCCGGCTCACCTGCACTGCCGACGACCTGTGCGTCCTCGCCTGCTTCCACTTCCTCCCCGACACCCTCCCCGCTATAACACCATCGTACGTCACCTTCCCCACCACCGCCTTGTTCGGATCCTCAGAAGAAGGGACCGCCTGCCTTTTCAACGGAGGGGGGCCATTTTCCAATTCCACCTCCATGGCGGCCTCACCTTCCTCCCCCGGGGCTTCCTTCTCTGCCCTCTTTCGCTTGTAAGTTTTGCCTCCGAAACCCTCATCCAGGCACCTAAAATCAATGGTACATGCCATATTCTCTTCGCTCACAGCAGCACCTCTAAATCTCTAATCGAACAAGGAGATCAACCCTAGTACTAGACTACTAGTTATATTCGGAAAAAATTTAAAAGATTAATAATCGAAAAAAAGAATAGAACATACATACAGATTTATATTGAAAGTAAAACTATTTACTGTTTTGAAGTTTAAACTAACAGTCCATATACCAAGATAACCATGATTTATATCTGAAATTTTTAAATGAAACTATGAAAGTATGAAATAACAAAAAACATAGTCTACTTTAATCTATTCCAATTTCAAGATATCATATTTCAAATTAAAAGTAACTTTTCCAGAATTTATCTATAAAAAATTTAAATGAAAATATGAAACCTGGAGGGCTGGAGGGTAGAGCGTGCGACGGCGACGGCAGGGTGGAGCAGAGGAGACGGAGGCAACGACCTGGAGCAGAGGAGAACAGTCGCGACTCGCGTGTAGGCTTGGTGCCGGTGGGCGGTGGTGGGTGAGAGACCTACAGTAGTTCTTCGGCTTCTTCTCAGACTGCAGAGAGAAAGAGACGGCCAGTACTTCTGCAGTAATCAATTTTAGGGTTGCTGGGTTGGGGTCTTGGAGACGCTTGGTTTAAGCGTTATATATATATATATATATATATATATATATATATATATATATATATATATATATATAAATCTAAATCTAAATCTAAAAATCTAAAAACATAATAAGTGTGAATGAAAGTTATATCCATGATTTATGTCCGTTTTTTTCGTTAAGTTTTTTTGTACACTATGCTATAAAGGTTGTACATTAAAATATTTTGGACAAACATACCCCTACCGTTATAACTTCCGTTATCTTTTTCACTATTGTTATCATGCACATGCATCCACCGTATATTTTCTTATCTTCTTTATTAATAATAATAACTAGTTTATTGGGATAATGCCCAATGTTTTTTTTTTTTTAAATAATCACTTTAAAGTATATCAATGCAGGATTATATTGGAATTGTTCATGCAAAGATAATTGAACGTTAAATTTGTGTATTTAAATAGACAATTCTAAGTTTACAAATGCAAGATAATATAGTCAAGATTGATTATATTTGTCAATAAAATAATTGTATAGGTATAGTTGAAACCAAATACGGGACATACGTGAGAGTAAATAAAAATTAGGGCATAAAATATTAAATATATACCAATATTGAAGAGCTAACTGCTGATTGCCAAACAAGGACATTGCGAGATAGTTTTCCATTTTAATTTGTTGTGTGATTTGAATACTCTTTTTGTCAATAAATTCTCCAAATAGTTAATATGATTGGCTTAATTATATATATTTTTTATTTTTTTTAAAAATTATTATTATTATTATTATTATTATTATTATTATTATTATTATTATTATTATTATACCATTAGATCATTTTACATGTTAATCTAAACAGCTAATTTTTTCAAATATCTTTTTACCAACCGTTGATATAATTCGCTGGTCAAATTCGCTAATATAATCCGCTAACGCTAACCGCTAACTGCTGATTGTCAAACAAGGGCATTGCGAGGTAGTTCTCACTTCAATTTGTTATGTGATTTGAATACTCTCTTTGTCAACAAATCTCTCAAGTAGTTAATATTTTTTTTTTGAATGCTCTCAAGTAGTTAATATGATTGACTTTATTAATTATATTTTTTAATTTTTTCATGGTATTAATAAAATACATTGTAAATAAATATATAACATTATTTTGTATTATAACTTTGATATTTTAATTAAAAAGTAGTGCACAAAAAAGATAATAGACAATGTAGTGAATATAATCAATTGATGAATTTGAATGTAAAGAATTTTTACATCAACGAAATATAAAGACAATATAACTAATAAAATTATTTCTCTTAATTAATTTATTAATAATGAATAATTTTTTTTAATAAAGACATGGTCAATTGATAAATTTGAATATAAAGAATTTTTATATTGAAGAAAAATACAATATAATTAATGAAATTATTTCTCTTATTTAATTTATTGATAATAAATAATTTTTTTTTGAATAAAGACATTGTAGACACATAATTCTTAATTAAAGAAATGCATATGTATGATTTTTTGTTGTAGCTACTAAATTATTATTTTAATTTAATAAGAGTAAAATAAAGTACTAATTATGTCAACTTTGATTGGGATGGGGTTCGAACCTAAAACCTTTCTTATTGAAATCAATAAGTAAGTTAATGGTGAACTAACAGAAATTAATGGAAAAGATAATATATAACGGAAAAGTTAACGGATAATCATATTCATTAAGGATAAATTAGAAAATCTTAGGGAAAAATTAAAATCTGATCAATCTGAGCCATGCATTTGATTAAAAAATTTGACTGCCATTTTTTCTACCCATTATAGGCCTAACTCTCTTGGGCTCTTATTAGTATAATAGATATATACACATTAAATATTTGAGTTATATGTTAATTATTACATAAATATAAATATCAAATTTATAAAAATGATTTACATTATTATTATTATTTAGAATAATTTAAATATATAAAATTTAAATAAATTTAAAATTTTAATATAATGTATTAATATTGGGCACCAATTTTATTGCGCATCGCGCATAAAAAATACTAGTATATATATATATATATATATATATATATATATATATATATATATATATATATATATATATATATTTATTTATTTATTTATTTATTTATTTATTTTATTAAAAAAAGGGGTCTGGCCCGCAACCCGTGCGGGCTGTGGCCCTCCACGAGCAATTGTTATGCCATTGACCCAAGTCCAAAATGACGTAGCTTTGCAGGCAATTTATATCCTACACCACGGCGCGCGTTGCATTGTGCGCCCAGATGCAAAACGACGTCGTTTCAAAATTTTTTTTTTTTTTAAATTTCCCGCCCCAGTGTTTGGTAGCTAATTTTTCTTTGAAAAAAACTCATGTTCAAAAATGTACATAATGTTATACATGAATGTACATAATTGTATACATGAATGTACATAATTGTATAACAAAATATACATACTGTTTTTAAAAGATAATACACATAATCTAACATAATACATAATAAACATAAACTTTTAACCTAATACACATCAACTCTTAACATAATACACAAAATTTCTTAATTCAGATGTACATAATTGTATATATAAAAAAAAAAAAGTGTACATAATTGTATGAACAAATATACATAATCACAACAACTTCCTACCGCGCCTCCCAAAACGACGTCGTTTTTGGAGGCGCGCGGCGCACAGTGCTACGCGCGTCGTGGTGTAGGGTATAACGATTGAGCTTTGCGTGTTAGGAATAACGGTGCCGTTAGTTCAAAAATTGTGTGAACATAGAGTTCAAAAATTGTGAGTATAGATTCAAAAATTATGTTATACTGTTGAATATGGATTTCTGTATTTGTGAATATATAGTTCTTTAAATGTGAATATAGAATTCTGTAATTGTGAATATAGAGTTCAAAAATCGTGAATATTGAGTTATGCAATTGTGAATATTGAGTTCTGTAATTTTGTATATTGAGATCTAAAATTGTGAATATTCAATTCTAAAATTGTGAATATTCAGTTCAAAAATTGTGAATATAGAGGAACGAATTCTGAACGCAAACGACAAGGTAGGAAGCATTTTTTTTTTTTAAATTCAGACGGCGTTGTTTTGAAACAAAACGGTGCCGTTCTGGACCCGGGTCCATGATACAGGCCATTAGGCCTGCATTTCCGCGGGCTAGTTTTTCTACCGCTCTAACCCGCACCCATTGCCGGGCGGGTGCGGGCGTACCTGCGGGCTTCGACCCACTTTGACACCTCTACATACATATAACTTTATATTGAAAGTTTCTCTCATTTTATTAATTTTTTGCCTGCGAGGTTTGTATGTTATAAAAAAGAGTTCATTTCATTTTTCGTCCTAGATTTATAGGTGGCAGTCGACTTTTAGTCCTTTTTTATCAGAGCATTTCCTTTTGGTCATAGTATTATTATGACATGATCAATTTTGGTCATTTATCAAAAAAAATCATCAAATTTTGTTAAATACAAGGACATTTCGAGGACCAAAGAGGATGTTCTGATAAAAAAAGATTAAAAGTGGACTGTCAGGCCACCTATAAATCTAGGACAAAATATGAAATTAACTCTTATAAAAAAAATAAACAATTAGTATAAAACAGAATAAATGAAATTACATAGACTCAGGGACGAACTTATAAAATGCACCTATTGATATGAGGTGAATTAAGACCAAAGAAATTTGACCCTCAGATTTCACAATCCATGCAACGGTGGTAGACGAAAATTGGACATTATTGATGTACATATAGATACTAGTTTTACACGTGTATTGCGTGAATGGGTTAATGCTCAATGTTTATAATTAGATAAATATTTGTAAGTATATCAATGCAAGATTATATATGAGTAATTCATACATAAAGTAATTTAATGTCGAATTTGTTTATTTAAATATATAACTCATAATATATGAATACAATGTAATATAAGGGATTCATTATAATTGTTACTAAACTTTTTTTAAATAGTAACCAAGTATTTTTGTTACAAAGGGTTCTAATATATTTAATAAATGCACATATATACAAGATCAATGAATGAATCAACAGTACCCGTCCTTTAGGTGACGTCCTTTAGGTGTTTTTCCTCAGTGTTCATTTAGTTCAACCATTATTATTGAATAAATTATTAATGGATAAAGAAATTCCTAATTTCTTTAGATGTAGTAAAAATTTAAAATTTTTAATTATAATGTAACCCAAAGATATTGGACGATTGGTAAATATGATGTAACCCAAAGATCAAAATGCTAAAGAAAGTGTTTAGTTATTCAACAGTTTGAAGCAACAATTTGTTCCAAACCACTGAAAATACAAACATTGCAATTTAAAATATTTTCATTTAGCGTTTTTGAGAATGATTTTCCCACAACAGGTGAGGGTGGGGACCTAATCTTAAGTGAGGACGTGAGGAATAATCTTGTGCGTTTGTTTTTTTATTTGGATGGTCCAGATTTGAGTTTTTGAGATGACATGGATTGATCTTTTTTGTTAAAGTGGGATAATAGTGTCTTTTTCTAATTTTTTTAAGTGTGAACGCATGTATAATCCTTGGCCAAATTGGTTTCCTATTTTCTTGGATCATCACCGTTGCAATTTGGAGCCGCAATTTCTTCATCATTGATTGAGTGTTCGCCCATGCAAACTAATCAGTATTTTTATTTTTTTTCGCTTGTTCTTTTGAGTATAATATTGTCTATATTTGGATTGTCGTGTATATGTATAAATGCCTGGGTAGTACGATTATGCATTCGTGTGTGCTGATTGTGCAACCTAGTGTTGTAAGTTGTGCACTATAGGCTAGGGAGTTGTGCATTATAGCACATAGCTCAATGCATCGTAGAACATTGGATGTTCACTGTATGTTTTTTTGACGGGGTTTGAATGCACAACAATGTAGTTATTGATGCACAACACTCAGTATAGGAATGCACAACATTTTGTATAGGAATGCACATCTTTTAATAAGACTGATTTACCCTAAATTTTTATATTTTAATATTTTAAAGGGATTTGTTTTCTTAATCCGTGTGATTTGTTTCTTTTAATCTCAGTCATACATCATTCTGATTTAATGGTCTAGATTAATCCTCACGTCCTCACCTAAGATTAGGTCCTCACCTGATCCGAACCCTATATATATATATATATATATATATATATATATATATATATATATATATATATATATATATATATATATATATTAGGACCGCTGAATTTATTTTATTTACAGTATATATAAAAAAGAACAAAATATTTATATGTATTAGTTAATTATTTCCTAATTTTCTGGTCTACAATATAATGTTCTTTAACTTTCCTAATTACTTGAGTTCCAATCTGTTCCTTAATTCTTTTCCGGATTGATCTGGGATTACTATTATAATTTTCTACTGATTTTTTTTTTTTACTAATAATATACTTAATTGAATTGAGAGATTACCCAATACTAAACTTAGTTGGACTGAGAGATTATCCCAAGTCCTATATAATACTTCGGTACCCAATACTTGGTGGATCATCATATCAATTCCAATTCATCATCATCATCGATCTTACTTACTTTATACGAACCTTAGTACTCAACTAACATTAGTATGCCTTACGAAAAGTTGGAACTCTTTGGCGGGGGAGCTCATGGCATTGTATTTCTCGCTCAATATTATAATCCACCTACTTTCAGTGTTCCGATGAAGTTAGCCGTGAAGTCTTCGAAGGTTGAGATTTCAGGTTCACTTTGGGGGGAAGGGAAAATATTGAGAAAGTTGCAAAGATGTCCCTATATAATTCAGTGTTTAGGAGAGGATACGAGCGTAGAGCATGGGAACACTATGTACAATCTTTTGCTGGAGTACGCTCCCGGTGGAACACTCAAGAGATTGATGAATTCCAGGGAAAGATTCATCCCGGAGGACGAGGCTTCACTATATGCTTATCAGCTTTTGAAGGGAATCTTAGAGGTGCATCGTCTCGGGATTGTCATTGCAATTTGAAGCCCAACAACATTCTTCTCTTCCCATGCAGGTGCGGCTGCGGCTTGAATCAGCTCAAGATAGGCGATTTTCGGCTATCTAAGATCGCTGGAGAGGGAGGTCATCGGGGAGCTTTACTCTACACCTCCCCGGAATCTCTGTTTTGCGGCATGCACGAGGCGCCTAAGGATATATGGGCTATAGGGTGCATGGTGGCGGAGATGATGGCCGGGGAATCACCTTGGAGGCTTTGTAACGGTAACGACGACGATAAGTTAGCTCAAGACATGGCCTTCAAGCAACCCCAAATCCCAACCGGCATATCTGATCATGTCAAGGATTTTCTGATGAGGTGTTTCGAAAGAAACCCAAATGTTAGATGGACTGCTGATAAGCTACTCAATCATCCATTTGTTGCCAATACCGATAATCCGCTGCTATGCCAAAGATGGGAGGATCGTCAAGGCTTGGGCAATAGGCCTTTCGGGACCGGAGAATGGATTTCTAGTATTGGTTTATTTTCCACTCCGATTTCGTCATGCACTTGTGGTTGCCGCCGCCTGGAAGGGATGAACTAATAGGCAGGACATAGGACAGGAATAGGGTTTTAGAAAAGAAAAGGAACATTTTAAAACAAATTTCATTTTTTATTTTTATTTTTTGGGGGTGCTATGAGTTTTTGTTAGTTATCAATATATGCTTACCTTTGTAATCTTGAAATATAAATGACAACTTTTCTTTGTAGATTTTACTGATTATGAAGTTTAGTGTAAATCTCTGTTTGTGCCCAATCATCCATTTGTTGTCAATACTAATAATCTGATGTTATTTGTCAATCTATGCTTTACCTTTGTAATCTTAAAATATATATGCCAAATTTTCTTGGAATAAGGGTCAAATAGGCCATCGAACTGCACAAGATAATGCAATTAGGCCACTGAACCTAAAAACTCAACAATCGGGTCCCTGAACTAACCAATTTCAAACAAATCTTCCAATTTGTAGGTTTCCAACAGGTTAACAGGTCATCCTCTCAAATTAATTATTTTTTAAAAAATAAAATTTAAAAATTAATTATTTAATTAATTTAAAAAAAAAAAAAACAGAAACGGCCGGAGACGAAGAAACTTCTTCGTCTCCGGCCAGTTTCTTCGTCTCCCCGGCCGGAGACGAAGATTTCTTCGTCTCCGGCCATGGAGACGAAGAGTTTCTTCTTCTCCATGGTTCTTCGTCTCCGGCCGTGGAGACGAAGAGTTTCTTCGTCTCCGGCCATGGAGAAGAAGAAACTCTTCGTCTCCATGGCCGGAGACGAAGAAATCTTCGTCTCCGGCCGGGGAGACGAAGAAACTGGCCGGAGACGAAGAAGTTTCTTCGTCTCCGGCCGTTTCTGTTTTTTTTTTTTTTAATTATTATTTTAATTTTAAAATTTTATTTTTTAAAAAATAATTAATTTGGTTGTTGACCTGTTAGAAACCTTCAAGTTAGATGAATTGTTAGGAATTTGTTAGTTTAGGGACTCAATTGTTGATTTTTTGGGTTCAGTGACCTAATTGTATTACACGGCTGGAAATTCGCGGTTTTCCGACCACCAAATAGTGGTCGGAAATAGCCAAAATCGGGTCGGAAATCTCTGTTCCGACCGATTTTCCGACCACTTTGGGAGTCCGCAAAAACGCTTGTCGGAAATTCTAACCACTACATATAGTGGTCGGAAACACCGACCACTAAAATAATGTGGTCGGAAAGTTTTGTCACATGGGAAAGTTGGCTGGTGGGAGTTTCCGACGACCTGGTGGTCGGTAAACTTACTACGCGTATATACGAATTACGTTTTGCGACCACTAAGTGGTTGGAAAATATAATTCGTATATACGCATAGTAAGTTTACCGACCACTAGGTGGTCGGAAATGTCGACAACCAAGTAAAAAAAATTAAAATTAATTTTAAAAAAAATACATTTTGCTACTCAATTAATTTAATACATATTATCTATCCTACCATAATAATTTTAAAGAAATAGTACTTTTATAAAAATGTAATATTACCAAAAATTAGCAATTTTAATTGCATGTTCACAATTCAAAAAGTAGTAGCTACATTTGAACAGAAAAATAAAATCTTTTGATATCCACAGACTGTTTCATTAGCTGCATTTGAACAGAGGGTATCTGCATACTTCAGCTGAATATATGAAATCCACAAGCTGCTTCATCATTGGCCAAAGAGATCGAATTCATCAAACACCTAATTCCAATGTCAAACAAAGGATCAATAAAGCATAAAACAATATCGAACAGTAAGCACTAAGCAAGCTAAGGGTGTCTAAGTATGAACTATTAGGTGATTTCAAGATCCAACAGATAAAATGCAACATCAAGTTAACTCTTTTTGGCAAATCAGTGTATATGTAACAAGGAAAGAACTTCACAGATTTCTGAAACATAAAACATGTAACAAACAACAGACTTCCTCCAGCTTGATTGGCAAAATAAACCAAATAAAGTAAAGAAGTATATATGATATCCACTTTAATTAGTCGGAAAAATGTCACAATCACTAGACATGGATAATATACCTTATACAATTGGGGACCCTTGTCATCAACTCCAGCAACCAAGAGAGAAACACCAAATGGCCTTACACCATTACATGAAAGAAACAAAGAAATAGAATCAAAAGGGGTTCAGCAAGAGTACATCAAGTTAGCTCTTTTTTAAACATATGTACATCATATATTAAAACAGCAGACTTTGAGTTGATTTGATGAACAGAATTGAAGTCATCTGTAATAATTCCCAAATCATGAAGCAAAGTATATACTAGTTTAAATGATACATCTATATATGAAGAACAATAAAGGATATCCATCCAAATATATATCAATGAGGACATCAATATAGATATATACCTGCTACAACTACAACATTGATTGAGAACATCGATCTCCCACCCTCTTGAGTACACAGCAGACTCCTTGAATTTGATTTGAAGTGTTCCAGTGATGCATATGGGGCCAGGCCAGGAGCTGTCAAACGTAACAGTAATCTAGGTTAAGGACTATGCTAACAAACACACATTGAAACCAGACAACTTCCAAAAAGAAATTTCTATTGAGGACACCCCAAACAAGTGCCATATTTATTACAGATCAGATAATATTCATTTGGAGATGCATTTTATTTCAAAAATGAAGAGCTTAATAAGCAAACCCATCACACAAGTGTGAGTGAAACAAAAAAGCAGACTGCATAAATGCTAGTAAAGGAACAACATTGCCACACAATGTGGAAAAAATATTAGAAGTTTCACACCATTTGGTAAAAGTTATGCATCATAGTTACGTTGTAGCTAGCAAAAGTAGCCACCTTTCCAATCCCTTTGTGCATATATTTAACAGCAAAATACTGCTCGTAATCTCGTATTAGCATTTTTTTTTTTTGTTAAGATCCCAAGCTAATTGTTCTTATCTATCTTTTAAATTTAGCATAGAATCTCAAAATTGATCACATCAAACGAATCGATCAACTATGAAAAGTAAGGACCTTTTGTTCATTAGAAATTAATAAGCCCAAAAAAATGGAGGAAATTTGCAAATACTTAGTTACTCACAGCCTTCACGCGAGCCCCGGGTTCGATGTGCATTAATCCACGCCTTGCCAGTTGCCATCATCACTGAAGATTCTTCATTTGCTTTCCGAGCAAGATTTTCATAGAAACACTGGAAAAGGTTAATTAGTTCAAGAAAGGAACAATATTATTAATTGTAAATTTGTAATAGAACTTACTCTTTAACTGATATAATTTGTTAACACATGTGATAACTCAATTAATTCTTGAGTAATAAATTATATCCAAAGATGCATGATCACACCAATAGATCAGAGACTATTCCAAATTACAAGGATGCTTAAGACTATTTTGTCATAGAATTAAGCCAACAAGCACTAATCTAAGTATAACATTACATTATATTAAATAATTATTTCAAATTGAATAAAAAATATTAGTGTAGATAAGTAACATTGTCATCTTTTAAATGGCAGTAATGTAGGATTCTATGGTTACTGAGTGTTGAGTTGTTGGGCGCCCCCTATTTGAGGTAAGGCCAGTGCAGCAGAAACAATATAATGCATAATATATTATCATCTATTATACCTCCCTCTGCTACAACAGTTTACAAAGGACTATACACACTCATCACAGCACGTGCTATGATCAAACATATATATCACATGATGAAACTTTGGCTAATATATGTACAAACGATTCATTGCTGGAAGAGACTGCAAAATTTTAAAAACCCAGAAAAAATTAATCAAATGAGTCACAGAAAATTCTTAGCATTCCTTTCAAATTGCTCAAAAGATACCTCCATGTACAGAGAAGTTGAACTCCAGCTAGAATCAACGAAGTTCAGACCTGGCTTATCAATCTTTCATTAATATAGAACATCACCATATCCCCATATATTCAAAAGCAAAAACACATTCAATGAATCAGAAGCCCTCTACATTAATCAAAACTTTTAAAACCCTAACTTTCAGCATCCTCTATAAGTTATAATCAAACCAATGAAACCAGATGCATACAACTTCATAATCAACAGCCAACATAACAATCAGAAGCACAGAACTTCATAATCAACACTTATACATAAATCACCAAGAAATTAGCAAAAAGTCAAGTGAGGGTGGAAGGAGGAAGGAGGGTGAAGAACTTACATCAATGGTTTGTTGTTGTTATACTGCCCAGTGCGTCGTTGCGGTGCGTCGTCGAGTGAGCGCGGAACGAGGAGGTTGCCGGTGCATCGTCGAGGAGGAAGATTTGGGACAGAGTGAAGGAGTAAGGAGGGAGGACTGGTCGACTGGATGGGGGAGGAAGATTTAGGGCAGTGTGAAGGAGTAAGGAGGGAGGAGGGATTAAGTCGTGAAATTTTGGGCGAAAATTTGGGAATGGCGCCTTTTTTTTTTTAGTTTTTTCTTTGTTTTTGTCTAAAATATAGTAGAATATAATTGTTTTAAGTGTATAGTTTAATATAGTTATCTAAGTTTAATATAGTTATCTAAGTTTAATATAGTCCATAAGAACAAATTATGCAAATTAAAAACTTTGACTAGTTTAAAAAAAAAAAGGAACTTTGACTAATTATAATAAAATATAATAATAATTAATTCTTTTGCATTATTATGGAATAATATGCATTTCGTGGATGTAGTGGAATGTATTATTTACAATATTATAATTACAATATTTTTTCAAAAATTATAATTGCTATAAAAATATTATAACTTCAATTCCTTAAAACTTTTATTCTAAATTAACAAAAAATCATACTATATCACTCACAATTTACAATATCATCCACAATTTATTAATATGCTAAAGAACAAGTTTACAATAATAATACATTTCTCTAACATATTTAATAAATGAGTTAATACCTCCAATAGTCCTCTGAGTATTAGCGATTTACCAGTTGTGGTTATCCGAGTTTTAAATGACCTCCAGTTCTCTATGTTTAAAAAATAACCATATATCATCCTAATTCTTAAAATAAATAAATAAATAAATAAAAATAAAAAACTCCGAGTTTAAAATGACCACGAGACGTCCTAAAAAGACCACTGGTGATTATTTTTTAAAATATGAAGGACCATTGAAGGTCATTTGAAATTCGGATGAACACAGTCGGTAAATCGCTAATACTCGGAGGACCATTGGAGGTATTAACTCTTTAATAAATTATGAGTGATACCAGGGACGGAGCCAAAGGGGGGCAAGGGGGCAGCTGCCCCCCTCACCCCACCCCCACCCCCACCCCATATATAATTTTTGTATGTATATATAGTACATGTGTTAGTATTAGTAAAACAAAACTATTGAATGTCAATAGGAGTTGATTTAGATGAGTTGGTTGAGCATATGTTGAGTTTATGATAAAGGATAGGGGTTCACAGTACAATATACGATGATTACAATTCATTACGTCAGTTTGCCAAAGATATATTGATGTGTCGTTGAAAGGGCAATCATGGTCATTGACGTAGGAGACAGCGTAGCAGCGTTAGTTAGAGATGGTTCGCTCAAACAAAACAACGACATAACCATCAGGAATGAACGCCATGAGAAAACCTAGACTACTGAGACCATATGAATGTTTGTATTATATATGTGATAAAAATAATACGCAATACAATACACGATAATATACAATACATTATGTAGGAATATGAAACTGAATATAACTATGATTATAGAGTCCTAACAAGAATAATGGTTTTAAAGAGTTGAAGTTAGAAAATGATTTCATATATCTATATGGGAAGGGTAGCATGGTCTTATTTTTCATAGCAAGAATGGTGAGATGATATCTACTAGTAAACTCTTTACGTCGTGGTCGATTGAAAAAAAAAAAAAAAAAAAAAAAAAAAAAAAAAAAAAAAAAACCATGAGTAGAATAATCAATGATAAAAAAAAAATAAAAATCACGTGGCCTTCATACCATTGAACCACAACAATAAAAAAACAAAAAGTACCAAAAAAAAAAAAAAAAAAAAAGGAGAAGAATGATTTCCGGCCACTATTCTAAGGTGGTCGGAATTCCGACCACTTGGGTGGTCGCAAATACACTAATTTTAAAAATTAAATTTGACAAAATGTTTCTGACCACCATGTAAACAGTGGTCGGAAATACCGACCACTTATTAAATGTGGTCGGAAAATACCGACCACCGTAACATTCCGTCGGAAAAAATGAAACAAGTCATTTTTTGAGACCAATTTTTGGTGGTCGGAATAAGGTCGGAAAAACGCGAATTTCCAGCAGTGTTATCATGTGCAGTTTGATGGCCTATTTGACCCTTATTCCAATTTTCTTTTACATTTTGAAAATTCTTTGTAGATTCTACTGGTTATAAAGTTTGTGTATTTGTGTCAAATGTGGATTACCCCATTTCTTTACTATCACAACGAGAGCATTCTCATCGTAAGTACTCATTAATCATAACACACATATATACATCACTCATTCCATATCATCATATACTAAATATATATCTTCTATGACCTTTTCCTGTTTGGGGCATGGGAATCTCAAGCATGTTTGAGCGCCATAGGCGTTCATACAAAGGTCACGTCAATAATGCAAACTCATTCAAGATTATTCAAGAAAATGTGAAGTTTTCATCAGACTATAACATGAAGCCAGAGAGGCCAATTAGACCTCCACGTTACAAATCCGGCATCGATTCCGAGGATGAAACTAAGACGGAGACCCCAGTGGTTAGTTCATCACAGGCGTCGCCCACTACGACTACGCCACCGGTTCAGATTTCCACTTCAATTCTTGAATCTGTGGACCGGATAAACAATCGTGCTGAGATTTCTGATTCCATAGTCCAACACCACTCAGCTCTCAAAACTGCGGTAACTATTTCTCAAGACTGAAATCCTAAGAATTTAGGGTGTGTTTGGTTGGTGGGTTTTGCACATAGGAATGGGTATGAAAGTGATTGTTGTTGTTTGGTTGATAGGTTTTTAGAACACTACTATAGGTTTCGTATACCCCATCAATTGAAAAATCTATACCCAAATAAAATAAGGGTTTCATTCCCTTATTCATTCTCAAGGACTACTAATAGTAACCATTCTCATTCCACCCTACTACCAAACATGTTAAATACTTTCACCAAAACCCATTACCATTACCAAGTATTTGATACCCATTCCAATTCCGATTCCTTATACGAACCAAACACACCCTTAAACCCAGATATTTGTTGGGTACTATGCCCACACCCAACTTTTGTATCACTGAATTACGCCCCTCGGGGCTCACAGACTTCCCTTTTTGTTGTTAAGTTATATGGATATAGTTGGGGGTTGGATTGCTGACTTCATAACCACAAGGTTTCAAGTTGAACTCCAAGTAATATGGGTCTATTGATCTTGTTAGTTTGACCTGATCAAGTATCAGTTGTTATATTATAGACCGCGGTGCATAATCGATTATGCACCGCGGCCCATATACGGCGCCGTTTCTTTAAGTAAAGAAACGGTCCGCCGTTAGAGTTAACGGAATCCGTTTGTTTGGTGTATTAAACACCAACTGACACTACAGTATATCCAAACCGACACTGCAGTTATATCAAAATGATACTGTAGTTATAGTGAAATGAAACTGCAGTGTATATAAACTGAAACTGAATAACATTTCACATATTTGAGTGTATATTATACAATGAAGCTGTAATTATATCAAAATGATCATGTAGTTGTGTTTTAATAAAACTATAGTGTATATAAAATAAAATTAAATAACATTTTCACATATTTGAGTCTATAAATATCGAATGAAACTATAGTTATATCGAAATGAAACTGTAGTTGTGTTCAACTGAAACTGCAGTGTATACAAAATGACACTGAATAACAGAGTTACTTTTTGTAAAAGGGTGCGAAACGGCGGAAATAAACACTGTTAATTTTCATTTAAAAAAAAAGACGCGCGGTGCATAATATAATTTGCCATCAAGTATGCACAACATAGACTGATTTATCATTATCATTTGCCGATTAAGATCACAAGATAATTTTAATTTAACCTGCACACTCTCATAGTGATTGCGAGTTTCTCATGTTAGTCAAGTTATATGGATATAGTTATATAGATGGCGTACTAATTGTATATTGGCAATGTACAGATAAAAACAACAGATTCATGGGTAGGTGGTCGCCGTTGGTAATCGGAGCAGTGCTCTTTTATCTGTTGCAACCCGGTTTGATTTTCCAGTGGCCGGGAAACGATCGGAAGTTTGAGTTCAAAACCATGAAGACCAATGGCAAGGCTATGTTCACTCACACTATGATATTCATTATTGCTATCTACGCTATTATCATTGCCCTCTCTCATGCTAAAATCTGATACATGGCGTCGCAATTTTGATTCTTTTTATGTTTTTTTTGGATTCTACATTCTAATCCATCTAATGTATAGTACTCATAAGTTTTATGTTCTTTTGGAATCGCATCCTAGTTGGTCAAGCTGTTGAATTAATCATCACAAATTATAAATTCGACTTTTAACTAAAACAGCTTATTAACCTTCTTGGTTTAGACTGGTTTACCTCTTTAATCCTTTGTTGTTAGGTTTCCTCGTTATCCAAAGAAATCTAATTGTTGTTGGTGCTGAATAAACAATCAATCTTTTTTTTTTTTTCTTTTTTTTTTTTCTTTTTTGTGGCTTGGACTGATTTGCAATTTTTCCACTGGTTCATAATTAATCACGCACAGTTTCAAACTTTCAATGTAAAATTAGAAGTTATCCATAGAAGCTCATCTACATTTAAAGCAACTCATTGGCTCTGTTTGGCAGAGCTTATTTAGGAGCTTATAGCTTATTTTAAGCTACTAATAAGCTATAAGCTCCGTTTGGTAATGTTCCCAAAATAAGTTCCTAACTTAAAATAAGAGCTTATTTTGGAACGCTACCTTAGGTAGCGTTTCAAAATAAACTCTTAGCTTCCTAACTTTTTTTTCATCTTTATCCTTATTATTTTAAAGAAATGACATAATTTACCCTTCCCAATTCAAATCCTTTTCTCTTCTCCTTTATCCGCAATTTTCACCACAAATATTATTATTATTATTATTATTATTATTATTATTATTATTATTATTTTGAGATTTGCAACAATATTGTTACTTCATTATGAGATGCTAGATCATGATTATGTTAATAGTTTTATTTCAAAATGTTAATTTTTTTAAAAGATAAAATGTTAAATTTTAATATGTAAACAAACTAATTTAAATTTTATGAAGATGTCCTTTTTAGTATTTTTACATTTATCAGCTTATCAAAAAGCTAATTTTACCAAACACTTTCAACCATAACAACTAGTTTAACAGCTCTTCACTTTTCAGTTCCGAACTTATAGTTTTTCAACTTTCAGCTCATTTTCAGCTTTCAGCTCCTAGCTTATAGCTTTTCAGCTAGGTTTGCCAAACAGAGCCATTGTGGTACTTTATCAGCTAGGGTGATAATGCAAGGCAGAATTATCCAGTTCACACTATTAAAATATTGAATGCAGATTTATCTCGTTACTCTAAAAAAAAAAAAAACAATTCAATTGTACAAAATCACACAGTTTAAAAAAAGAAAAAAGGGCCTAAAGTTATGCAGTGATATTGTGATAAGTATTTGGCTTGTATGGACCATGAATATCATGTACATTTTTAATATATTAAAAATATATTATTTTTGTACTGAAGGTACATTATGTTTGTACTAAAGATACATTATACAAAATAATATACCATTAGTATATTAAAAATGTACTTTCAAAAATGTACCTTATATACATAAATAATATACCCTTAGTATATTAAAAATGTACTTTTTATTTATGGTCCACACAATTGTGTGGACCATGGTCCATGCAATAATGTATAATTATTTAAGTGATTTTAGAAATATGTTATTTTTAAAAACAAACTTTTAAATTGTTCACATAAAAAATACGAGACTTTAGGCGTCTAATCTTAGAAAAATATAATACTAGAGTTTATGTGCACACAATCTTAGAAAAATATAATACTAGAGTTTATGTGCACACTTTGAAAAATAAAAAAGTAAAACTACTCGTCTGTTGTTCAAGTGTTTCAAAATTTAATTTAAAGAAGTAAAATTAAAAGACTCGTCTGCTCCCCTCTCTCACTTCGAAGGCAGATTCTCTGTCTCGGTAGGGCACCTCTCATTCAGAAAAGCTCAACAGCCAAACCACAATTTTCCCTTCAATGAAGATCATGTCATGATTTCACTTTAATTGGATGAAGGTCAAACCATATATATCAGCTATATATTGGCCTATTCTCAGCCCATCCTATCATTTTATAGGCTTTAACTTTCATGATAACTAAGCTTTGCGTGATAATGTGCAAACTAATATTAAAAATTAAGAAAAAAATATGATCACATTATATAAATATATGATTGTACATTCGTAAACGCTTGACAATGCATTCACCATACACACATATATATAAGGGTTGAGTTAACATGTTTTAGCTAAAAAAAAAAGTGCTACTAATATGATCTATTCATTTGGGTAAGATCAACTAACAGTTGAAATTTGCTAAAAAATAAGGAGAATAATGACGGGATTAGTTTTATAAGTATTATAAATTTAAAATTTTGTAATAATTATAAAATTGAATCTGTATTTTTTGTTTTACTAAAATCTCAACCATTGATGAATCTTGATAGATGCTTGATATTGGCCATCACTTTTTACAAGAGAAGATGTTCTCATTTGAAATAACTTAGAGATAGAACCGAGCATACGAGAAAGATCTGAAAAATATCTTTATAGTAAAATATTTTCGCAAAAATGTGTCTCTTCTTGTTTGACCAAAATAGGTTGATTTCGTTCACTTCATTCTCATTGAATAGCTAATTCAACACCAAGAGTCTAGAAAATGATTTTCAAAATTCAATTTTTAAATTTTCAAACAGACCTAAGCTGACATTATAATGAAATAGTTAAAATTCATATTTATTACAAGTGATTTGAGATTTGTTCGGTAGCAATGATGCTATCAACCCACAAGATATTTGGTCAATTGGTTTGAATTTATATCTTTATAAATTATAAAAAAAAAGGAGAAGTGTCAAATAGGCCCATATACTATTGTCAAGTGCTCAATTTTCACCATAAACTAAATTAAAGGCTAATTAACCACACTTACCTACTAAATTTGTTCAATTAGTTTTTTTTGCAGGTAATTGACTTTTTTTTTTTTGCAGGTTACCAATTCAATTATTAAAAAAATAATTTCAAAATGATTTAAAAATTATTAAAAAAAAAAAAAAAGAATACAGCCACCGGTTGTCCTCGCCGGACAGCCGGTGGCTGCCATTTCAAAGACAGCCGTGGCTGTCCGGCAAGGACAGCCGGACAACCACGACTGTCTAATAAGAGGTCCAGGTCCAAACGGCCTAGAACGGGGGCGGTGGCCATAAACATGAGGTCCAGATCTGG